AAAACGGGCACATAGAATGCTCAGACTGAGTCTGAAAAATATGTGTAAAGCACACAAATTGTGTCACGTCTGGGAATCGAACCGACAACACTGATTTACTGATCTACCTATTTAATCAGTGTAATTATTTTTAGGACATAAAATACTTAATGTAATGTTCTCTTCTCTTTAATGCAAGTAGAAACAACTGTTGCATTTTCTACTAAATTATAAAAGTATATAAAAATGCATTTAAATTTATCATTATATAATATTCATAACTCATACGCTGGACACACAACGGACACTAGTAAGAGGTACTGGTAAGAGGGCGAGGAAGAAGAAAGGCCGCGAATAACACGCAAGCTACGAGAGACATCTAGTTAGGTTCCTATTATAGAATGAAACTACACATTAATAACTAAAATACAATATATTTATGCATACACACCATTCATATCTAACTTAATCGATTTTGAAATTATGAGGACATAGATATCCCTTTTTCCCGTGGGTTACGGGACGGGGTATTTATAAAACCGACAAAAGTCGAGATGTTGAAACCAACACATACATATAATATTCCTAACATTCTGATACCACGGACGAAATCATTCATCAACTATATTATTATAACTTTTCTGTCCTAAAGATGTCTGTAAACCATAACTATTGCTGATCGTATCATTAATTAAGTATTAGGAGGTTTACAAGGTAACGTCATACAGGTGCATATATTATGTGTATTTATTTTGCGGATCGGTTAATTGCTCTCTCACGCTAAGATAAATCTCATGGTAATCGCTCCCCTAGAATAAAATTTACGTAAGATGTATATTACCAACACCCATTTTTATTTATTAAGTACAAAATTTTAAAGGTCGGCACTAATAATGTATTAAGTTAAAACGGAGTATCTGGGAACCCGGATCCCTTTGAAAGTAAATAAAATTATGTAGTGGCAGAGACGAGTTTAAATAAGTTATACTTACGTTTGGAATAGCCTCTAAGCCATTACACGATTATTAAATTGACAAACACAAAGGCCGAGAGCGTTATTTATTAGACAGGTATGTATACGCTAGATATTAAAGGCTCCACAAATATCAAAGGAGCATCACAAAAGAAAAGAATATAATCAAATCTTGAAATATAAGCGCTTCTAAGAAACACTCGAAATCAAAGAGACACCTAATTTATAAATTGCAATTACACCGGCAGTCGGCGGACTTCGGCGAGAAAGGAAAAAATTAGAGAGAACAGATTACGAACACTAAATTTAATTACAACAGCGAACTCGAATATAACAAATTGGAGAGGATAAACGCGACAAAGTAAAAGAGAAAACATACCCAAAAGGAAACTCGTAGCATTGATATAAACGAAATTTAAATTAAGTACAAAGGGAAAGAAGATGAAAAAATATCCTTTCATTGAAAGCTCTCACCCCCGGAGTCAGAGGGCCGGGCGGCTACATCAAAGACACCTTCCTCCCATCTCTAGCCTTATCTGTGCGAAACCGAGTTTAGAAATTAGCACACAGAGATCCTTTTTCTCTGAGACTCGACTGTGGCTCAAAGACGCCGCCCGCGCCGCGTGCGCACCCTTTCAGCCGCTTTTAGCATTACGTTTTCATGAAGGGTTTTTTGTATAATTTGTCGTTGTACAAATGGTAACACGTTAATGTACCTAATGACATATTTTATTCAAGTTTAAAGCTCTGTTTGGGCCTCACTCGCGGTAAGGTGAGTTCCTTCACCACCGTTATGAAATACCGAGTGTTGTTTCAATTGACTCCGACCTCTTTAATTCCTTGTGTATTACATTAAAATGAAAGAGTTTGTATATTGAATATGATTCCTAATGTTTGATACATATACTTTTATTATGTTTGATATTGTTTAACTTAAAAGGTAAATCTTAGGAGCTACGTAAAAAATTCTGTTTTTAAATTCTTGAACCTAATTATCTGTACAACTGCCTTTACTTGTTACTTGCTAGCGCTGGAAATAAAGTACGCAATTTGAAAACTAAAATAACAAACTTTGACGAAATGTTTTCCTCAGTTTGTTTTATTTTGATGTTGTTTACATATATGCTTTAATAAAAACTGTGCTTGCGTTATACATATATCTATTAACGTTGTAGCTATCCTTGTTTAACACGATTCCCACAGGCTACTTCTCTGCTCGCTGGACACTACATCATATCGAACTGAATGTGGATGAAACAGTAAAGCATTCTGGGATGTTTGTACATACTTTTTAAAGACATTCTTATGTCTGCACAACAATAGCAGCCTATGTAAACCATGTTAATGTGTTAATTTTAGAGCCCTCTGAAATTAACTCATGAAAATAGGATCAAGTTCAGATGTTCTCGGAACAGAGCTAAGCGGTAAAAGAAATAGCATTTATTTATTATAATATAGTTAATTATTTTACTTTTTTCCCTACAACCGAAGACAACCACAATAACTATATAAGTAGTAAGTTGTTAAAATGACGTTGGTGATTGTAACTTAAGTAAGTCTTAAGTAGAACAACATCCACAGTCACCTGTATTTATTATCAAACATCACCGGACGATTCCAAGACGCGTTGATGTCTTTTGTTTAAGACGTGCTCCTGCAGTTATGTTTATGCTCTCGACTTACTATATATTGTATTTTATGATTTAATTTATTTTATGTAACACTTATAAAATGTTTAAATGTACAGTGAAAACAAAGATTATTATCGAACGACATTAGAAGCTGTAGAATAAAAAAGATCTTATTTAAAAGCCATTTTTATTCATGACAAGAAAAAATGACCAAAAATGAGTTTTATAAATCCATTCTTTAAACCTGCCGTAATGAACACAATTGCGTTTTACACAAATTTAACAACATTGCTCTATAGCGTGATCTCGAAACTTAAGAAAATATAACAATAAACATAGGTTAATAATAAACAACGAAAACGAGGAGGCAATAAATAAATATCACCCCTCTTTTAACTTTTTAAGAACAAAAAAAGCAATAAAAATAATCAAACATGCAACAAACGCGAACAATACAACTAAATTAACAAAACGAAGTACCACTCAAGCGGGAGTAACTACAATAAATCCATACAATATGGAGCAACAAAACAATAGTGCTGAAACGGCTACAACCGTACGCACAGAAACAATGGATGCATTCAAATAAAATGTTTTTAAAATAACGACTAAAACCGTAGACAAAAAACTTGCCCACCACCGTCTCGTCGAAATGCCGACAGCCTCCTTGTCAACAGCAGTGCCAATAGTCAGTTTTTTAAACAAATTTATTTGTTAAAATATTTTAGTTTTATACCTGTTCTTTGCATTTGCAAAAATCCAATTTATTTATGAAACAATCCAATAACACTAGATATGAAATTTACACAGACACTGAAAACACGCTATAGATAATATAAACACTGATTTAATAAACTAAAATCACGAATACACCGCTTAATATATTCTTTGGTTAAAAGTTTTGAGTACGCGATCGTAATGTGCAAAATTTGAGAAAGCGGAGAAAACGCTGCATCACCCGCGGCAGCCGACGAGCAACTGTCAGAATTTAGCAAAGTACAGTGCGCGCGCCGCACGTGGCCTTAAAAGTGGGCGGGGCAAAACCAATGCGACCTCTGTGATTGGACCGGTGGAGCCTTTGATCACCCGCCGGCAACTAACTACATCGCTCTGCGCCTTAATCTCGGTAGTAACGTCCTTTTAAAACAGGTAATTTTATTACAAAAATGTGAATACGTTTTATGGTCAGTCGAGCAAGCCCTGTGGGATGGCTAAAGACCGCTCGGCCGGGGGCCGGATGATATTTTCCACATGCATGCCATATCCAGCGCTGAATGCAATCCCAATAATACATTACCGGCTCACTTACAGAAAAAGCTGAAAGCTTGGCGACTGTTTTCTTACTAAAGCGTTTTGTGAATTCTACACACCTTTTTGAAAAAAAAGGAATGATCAATTCTAAAGCAACCATGAGTTGTACGAAGTTTTATAAGTATAAATATTATTCTCAATTTGCATGATTAAAGGTACCGCGATATGATAAAGCCAATGCACACGGCATTTTAGAAATATGACGTGTACCTAATTTAATTATTAAAATTTAGTGGATGTGTTTAAAATATTTTTTTAAGTGAGTTAAGTGAGTATGAAAAGTTTTGAAAAGTGTCATGTAATAGTGTTGTAAAAGTGAATGCGATGAGCTTAATCATTTGTCCTGTCTGGATGTAATTTTTCTATAACAGTACAGTACAGTTTAGTAATATTTAAGTAGGTATGTTGATCCGCAATCTGGGTACTAGGGATGTAATAAAATCACAATCATATGTGATGAGGATGATTTAAAAATCATTTCGTCACACCTGTGACTGATTTACAAGACCACTGCTACTTAATTTCTTTAATTCTTTGAAAGACAACTCCCGCATTAGGAATAAATCCTGTGTCGCGGGGGACTTTACAAACATAAATGAAACGGACACAAAGAACACCCAGACTCAGAACAACAATCTGTGGATCACTCAAAGTGTCCTCCCATGTGGGGTTTGAACTCACAACACTCGGCGTAGTAGGAAGCAGCGTGGCGACCGCTTCAACCACTACGCCATCCGTGCAGTCATTATTATTATTATGCTAGCGCAAGATTCGCGAAGGGTCTAAACCAAAAAAAAAAGTTCGTAATCTTTGATTAAAAATAATTTGGATTGATTTTAATGCCACTTATCTTTGTCCACGACGAAATCACAATCACATGTGAAATCGCTGTGGCTAAAACCCAATCACTTCATCAAATGTATATGATGTCTGAATATGAGTCTACTGGGTACCATAGTACAGGCTCTGCCTAGTTCGGGGACAGACGGCTGCATGTTGGATCTGTATGTATTATTATTATTACGAAGGTGGCCGTAGTTTGTGACCATCATTTATATGTGTTTGTAAACTAATAAAGCTGAGCAAGATTTCAGGAAGTGATTAAAATGAACTCATATCCCGATATGCACGGTGCACTGGAGGCTCGTAAACAGCCGCAGGGCGGGCGTCGGTTGTACAGCGGTAGATCCGCGGCCGCAGCTTCCGAACACGCGACGCAATAGTTTGTCGACGCGATGCGATCGCTGATATTAATAAACCAGGCGCGTGTGTGCGCTGCACCCGGCGGCGCCGGCTCGTCTCGCCCTGCATTATTACTCAGCTCCCGCCACACGCCCGTCGCTCACCAACACGCACCCACACAGGCAAACGCTCGCCCGCGCGCCCACATATAATGTCAAAGGGTGAGCGCCGCTTCACAAAGCGTAAGTGCAACCACTAAAAGCCAATCCTAAGTTTTATTGATACACATTGTATTGCGACAAAGTCTCCGTCGGCGGCGGCCCCACTCACCCCACGCGCCGCACAAAGACAATATCGCGACGTCAAAGGAGCGGGCGGCCCGCGGGCGGGTGGCGCTCACCGCCTGCCGCCCGCCGCCGCCTAAAGGAAATGAAAAATTAAATTGTCAACACATTTAATATCTGCGAAAACGTGCACGACGTTGCCTTTGAACGCGCCTCCTTTTGCTGGTCCTCCGCGGCTCCGGCTTTAAGTATTAAAATTTCAGTCGTAAAATTGAAATTCTGTTTAAGTTTAATTAGACGTCGCTGGCGAAGTTCGAAGTCGCATTAGATCAGTAGCGCTAATGAGGCCCGCGGTGAGCACACGTCACAGGTGCGAGCGCGCGAGGAGAGGTCTGGGTGGCGCCGGCTGGGGGTGAGAGCGGCACTCCCTCGCGTTTGATCGGCGCCGCCGCTTTGACAATTATTAAAATTTGCCTCGTACCTCTCGGGCCTCATCTTTTTCCGTCGCCTCGATTACGCCACGGGTTTGTCTCATTAGGGCTTTTGTATGGTATCGCGAGCTCCCCTTTGATGTGAGGCGTGGAGGCACGGGGCGGCCGCGGTCCACCTGCACTTTTATTGTTCCCACCCGTCCTCGAATTTGCACGCTCCACTTTGAGTTATCTCTTTGCGATAAAACCGCGCGCCGGCCGCTCTTTGACCCCTGTACATCAGAACGATAACACGTCAGCTGGTGGACCGAACTTGCCTCGCCACCTAGCCGCATGTGCGTTACATATGCCTTGGTGTGTTAATTGTGAGGTAACGAGTTTTAAGTAAAATGCACATGGGATTTTGTCAGATCAACCGTAAAGTCGTTGGTGTATCGGCTTGGTGCAGTACCGGCCGTTGTTTATAAGGGTGGTTCGGGGCCGCACTGTTTGTGAACACTCGACACCCCTTTATTACTTCTGTTCTCTTTGTACGCGTGCTATCATCATCAAGCATACGGCTCGAATTAAAGCTTCATACAATGACAATTTGTCGCCTTTGTGCGCTTTATTGGCGCCCAACGTGGGACACAAAGGGTAAACGGAGCGTGCTTTTATTGATGAAATATAAATAAAGTAATTTATTATTCGAAACATTTTTTTATAGAAACTCGATCGCGATTGTGGATGGTTACGGTAGAAATAGGACTTTAATACACTACATGAGATATATTTTTTAAACTTGTACACTTTGATACTTTTTACATTAACACGACAACCCCTTTTTCACCGACTCCATGTTAGTAATGCAATTTAAATTTATAGATAACGCAAAAGCCGATAGTTGCCGTTAAATCAAAGTCAAACACGTATAATGTAGCTGTTTATGTGTACGTGGACTATATCCGAGCAAATTGGATGTGTGTTAAAGAACAGGACACTGTAAATTACTTTAAAAAGATGCAATTCTTTCATGACTCTTTTATTTAACTATCTTATGGGGCTAATTTACGCCTTTAGACCGACTTGAGAATGTAAATTACCGTTCATGGGCGGCGATGGTCACTTTCCATCAGGTGACCCGTCTGTTCGTCTGCCTCCTCTAGCAAAAAAATATGTGATTTTTATTGACATCGTAGTGGAGCTTCAATAAATGGTGATAAATCTGCAGTAACTCGAAAATAAATAAATTATTTATTTATGACTTCTTCCACCTTCCAATCTTGTCACCCAGCTTTGTATCTTTTATACCTACCTACTTGTTGCTTAAGAAACCAAACGCGAAAACAGGGGTTCATTGTACATGTTACTTGTATCTTAGACTTTTTTTTTAAATACCTAAGCAATAATTTCCAAACACACGCATTAATCAGTGCGTGTAAGTCATCCATCCAGTCAGAGTGTCGGTGGGTCGAAGCCACGAGTCAAACTTAAGGCGAGGGCGCGAGGAGACAAAGCGCTTTGTTGTGCCGAACACAGGCTCGCAGCCTTTCATCTCGCGCCGTCCTTCAGCGGCCGAATTGACACCATAGGGCTGACACAAACCGGACACGCCGTTTTTATTCCTCATAAAGAAGAAATATAATGTATCGTCAAATGTGTGTCATTGGCCGAAATAGTTAATTTTACAGCAGTGTTAATCAACCACATTGTTATTTTGCTGTGATTGCAGAATTAACATTTAATGATTCACCATAGACAAATCCCTTTGCCTAATGATTTATAATCATATATTAGAGTATAACGCTACACTATTTAAACTAGTTAATTTTAACAAAGAAGAGTAGAAATTCTGTAATAGATAATAGTATCTATTACACGTTATTAAAGTGACGCAACTGGAAAGTGTGTCACTTTAGAGCGCTTAATATCAAAAATAGCAATGTTGGTTATTTTTCCCGCATAAAACATTCAATTTAGCAACATATATGTTACGTTCATACTATATGTACTTTATACCCCTCCCCCCTATTTCTGCACAGATATTATCAACATATGTATTTAAGTAGTATAAGAATAAAGTGACGAAACAAATAGACAACTTATTTAATGCCAAATTATCAAATACAAAGACTGTAATCATGTAGGGTTACATTCATTCATCAGTAAAGGTGGAGTGGTGAATAAACTTTATTTATTTTGCTAAATTCCAAGTAATATATCTCACACATTTCATAAACCGCCGTCTGATCCCAAACTAGGCAGAGCCAGTAACTCATAGTACACTATGGGGACCAAACTGCTGATCATCAATCAACGGCATTTAATAGGAGATGAGACAACGGCCTTTAATAGGAGAATAGGGAGACGAGAAAGAAGGAAAGGAGCTCCTTAGAAGGTTTGGTTTCTCCTTAGAAACTACTGATAAACATCCTTATATTTATTTTTAAATACATACATATTTTACATAAATTACACCCAGACACAAAACAAATGACAGAGCTCATCACACAGTATTTGTCCTGGGTGGGAATCGAACCCAGATTAGTCCGGCTTAGCAGTCAGGGTCACTAACCACTAGACCAACAGGCCCGACCTATGAAGTATTGTGAAATAGAGCAAAAATAGACAAGAAAAAGCTTTGTTTATTCATTCAACTAACTTTTATTTACACTACCTAGCTTACTCTATTTACGAATATATTAAATGTTAAAATGAATAACAGGTGTTTGTATTCACCCCCTAATAAACAGTCATTTTGCGTTTAAATGTAATAAAAACCTTCCCCTTGTGCTGCCACGGAGCAAATAAATTTCATTAAAGCAAATAAAAAGAAATCCCCTTTAATAAACACAGATTAACTAATCGTGGATTATAAAGGGGAATGTTTGCTGTCAAATTATAGGGCTTGCAACACTTAAAATAAACTTTTTTTTCATGTCAACCCTGTCGCTAGTGCATTCCGTTTGATGTAAAAGAGTATCCTTTAGGCGAGACGCTATTCTTATTATCAACTTGTCCATGAATTTAATATAGGTGTCCTATGTACTCGTAAATTCATAACGGGCATACTTAATCTTTATCATAATTTCAGGGGGATATGGCCCATTAGTATCAAGGCAAAACTGTACACATACTTAGATAAATTGATATTGAAAAAAAAACATACTTTGAGATACTAAGGCCAACGTCAATTGATAAATATTTCATCAACAGCCAATGCTGGACATAGAACTCTTCTAAGGAAGGAGGTTTTGGCCTACTATACCACGTTGGCCAGGCTGTTTTCTATACATCTTTTTTACATAGTATTAAAAAAGTCCCTTTTTATGTTGTACACTTAGATCTTTTATACTAAGCAACGGATTTTAATGCGGTTTTTACCAATAGAGAGTGATTCAATAGGAAGGTTTATATGTGTAATGCATGCATATTATAGGTAGTAGAGAAAATCCGAGAATTTCAAAGATTTGTTGTATCAAACATGTTTTTGTGTGCTTTCATTGCACGCTGCCTAATTCTTACGAGATAGACAGATACGAGTAGATACAAAATTATGTACTACGGAATTGTATATCTAATGTATTATAAAAATATATATATTGTATAGGTAATATAAAAATATATATAGATAACCCACAGTAACTACTTTTATCTTTTCAATATTACAAAAAAAAAGGTTATTTACGAAGCTATTTTATACAATACATTACTATTCCTTATTCAATACGTTAGATACATTGTACATTTATCGTAGATTAAAATTGCTCTTCACAGCATATCATTAAAATGAATATTCTAGAAGATGTTATAGGTTTAAGATGCGGGGCAAAGTGGCCGGCAGGATCGGAGCAGGCCTATAAATATTGCATAGGTAATTATATTAAGATATATATAGCCCTAGTATAATATAGTATAATTATTTACTCTACAATGACAACACATTAGTAGTATCTACGTTGCACCCGTGCGTAGCCGCGGGGCGGATCGCAAGTTTATATATAAAACAGTTTTGCAGCAGTCGCCAAACATTGGCTGGTAAATTAATTTGTGTAGGGTACGTGTGTGTTCTCTAACACACACGTACCCTACACAAATTAATCTGAAGAATGAACGGGAATTTAACCCGCGACCCTTAATAGCACAAGATAAATCCTTTGAAAAACAATTTGAACTGAACTGAACTGACTTTAAACAATCCTAACAACAAATGCACTAAAAACCTAGCAGAAATTGCGGTTCATTTGCTGTCATTTTTTGAAGAGTTACGTTGTCTGTCTCTGAAACCCGTCCTCAGATCTATAAGAAAATTTAAATGGGACCATTTCGGAATAAACCCCTGAAGGAGTTAGGCCCGAACATACATAAAGAAATATATTATATTAACAGCCGAATCGATAACTTCCTCCTTTTTGAAGTCGGTTAAAAATCGGTTATTGCTGCGCCGCCGCATTCTTTACCGTCTGCTAATTAAGTTTAAAATGGAGAAGATTCGAGTGTTGTTTTATTGTGCGCATGTTTTGCGATTTGTTCGTCATTTGTGAATTCAAATGTGTTTCTATATTTTTTGCGTCACTTTTATTAATTGATTTTGTTATACGACCTTACTTAGGAGTCAATATTTTTTTTGTCTTTTCCTTACTGGACATACCTACATCCTTTCTTGTATAAGAAAGATAAAGTTTGTTTAATCTCTAGAGTAATAAGTCCTATATAACATTTTATTTGATAGCCCAATTTCTATTATACTTAGTTATGAAAGGC